CTTCAGCTGCATCCACCTCCTCCTTCCTCCATCCTCCATCCTTCATCCTTCAGCTGCATCCACCTCCTCCTTCCTCCATCCTTCATCCTCCATCCTTCATCCTTCAGCTGCATCCACCTCCTCCTTCCTCCATCCTTCATCCTCCATCCTTCAGCTGCATCCACCTCCTCCTTCCTCCATCCTTCATCCTCCATCCTTCATCCTTCCTCCTCCTTCCTCCATCCTTCATCCTTCATCCTTCAGCTGCATCCACCTCCTCCTTCCTCCATCCTTCATCCTCCATCCTTCATCCTTCATCCTTCAGCTGCATCCACCTCCTCCTTCCTCCATCCTTCATCCTCCATCCTTCATCCTTCAGCTGCATCCACCTCCTCCATCCTCCATCCTCCATCCTTCATCCTTCAGCTGCATCCACCTCCTCCTTCCTCCATCCTTCATCCTTCATCCTCCATCCTACAGCTGCATCCACCTCCTCGTTCCTCCATCCTTCATCCTCCATCCTTCAGCTGCATCAACCTCCTCCTTCCACCATCCTTCATCCTTCATCCTTCAGCTGCATCCACCTCCTCCTTCCTTCATCCTCCATCCTCCATCCTTCAGCTGCATCCACCTCCTCCTTCCTTCATCCTCCATCCTCCATCCTTCAGCTGCATCCACCTCCTCCTTCCTTCATCCTTCATCCTTCATCCTTCAGCTGTATCCACCTCCTCCTTCCTCCATCCTCCATCCTTCATCCTCCATCCTTCATCCTTCATCCTTCAGCTGCATCCACCTCCTCCTTCCTCCATCCTTCATCCTTCATCCTTCAGCTGCATCCACCTCCTCCTTCCTCCATCCTTCATCCTTCATCCTTCAGCTGCATCCACCTCCTCCTTCCTCCATCCTTCATCCTTCATCCTTCATCCTTCATCCTCCATCCTTCATCCTACAGCTGCATCCACCTCCTCCTTCCTCCATCCTTCATCCTTCATCCTCCATCCTTCAGCTGCATCCACCTCCTCCTTCCTCCATCCTTCATCCTTCATCCTCCATCCTTCATCCTCCATCCTTCAGCTGCATCCACCTCCACATGTCTTTGATAAAGAAATGTAAATTATTCTTTATTCTGAGTCACATAGCGTTTACATTGCAGTCGGCACACTCGTCATCAGTTTGATCCCTACAGTGATCCGTATTTGGACATTGTTCCCCCAGTATAATTACACACATGCAGGGCACAAACAAACAGAACCAGGGGGTGTTTCTCCCGCTTCGAGGGGAGGACAATGCAGCAGAAAATCCTATTCAAGACGAACATCACTTCCTCTTTCTCCTTCTGAAATGTGTTCTCCTGAAGCCTCACGGAGGAAAGGGAGCCTGTCCAACACACGGAGTCCATTTCTAATATCACACCTGTCAGAAGATTACTCTCCACATGCTCTCAGATCCTTAGCATAAAGTGTGTGTGTGTGTGTGTGTGTGTGTGTGTGTGTGTGTGTGTGTGTGTGTGTGTGTGTGTGTGTGTGTGTGTGTGAATATAAGAGCAGCCGAGGATAAATGCTGCAGTCTTTATTCATTCATCCCCATCGAGCCTTTTCTTCTGACTCTGCTGTTGTTTCTCTTCACAGCAGATTTACATTTTAAAGCTTCACACAGTTAATCCCCCCCCCCCAAACCGAGGCGCTGCTCACACTCCAAAACATAGGAAATGTGTGTGTTAGTGTGTGTTCATATATCTGTGTGTGTGTGTGTTCATATATCTGTGTGTGTGTTAGTGTGTGTTCATATATCTGTGTGTGTGTGTTCATATATCTGTGTGTCAGTGTGTGTTCATATATCTGTGTGTGTGTGTGTTCATATATCTGTGTGTGTGTGTGTGTGTTCATATATCTGTGTGTGTGTCAGTGTGTGTTCATATATCCTTGTTTTAATGTTTATGTTTGATCTGCAGAGTCTCAGCCGGGAAAAATCGTTTCAGTCGGACAGCGACGGAGACACGACCTTCAAAGGACACAGGTGAGTTATTTAAAGAAAGAGCTGACACTTTAAATCTCAGGTGTGTACAGGGGATTAATTTAGATGCAGAGCTGTAACTCAGGTGTGTACAGGTACGTCAGTTAAATAAAGAACTGTCAATACTCAAGTGAATCATTTCAATGCAGAGCTGTAACACTCACTCTCAGGTGTGTGCAGGTGAGTCTTTCAAATATAGGGCTGTAACTTTGTCTCTTAAGCCTTTTACAGGTGAATAAATTAAATAAAGACCTGTAACTCATACACTCAGGTGTGTACAGGTGGGTCACTTCATTAAAGAAATGTTACTTTAACTCAGGTGTTTACATGGGAGTCATTTATGTTTAAGAGGTGTTACTTAATCGGTCAGTGTGTACAGGTGAGTCATTTAACTTAAGACTTGGTACTTAAGCTCTCAGGTGTTAGCATAAGCATTTAAAGAAATCAAATATATCTAACACATACTCTCAGGTGTGTACAGTTTAGCCATTTAAATAAAGAGCCGTAACACACACACTGTTTAAAGGTGTGTGTAATTAAAATGAAGACCTTTTTATTTTAACTCTCAGGTGTGTACAATGTTTGATTTCTCTCAGTTCACGTGTGATTTCTCTCAGTTCACGTGTGATTTGTGGTTTCAGGAACATGGTGACGTGCCTCTCGGTGTCGATGGACGGCACGCTGCTGCTCTCGGGGTCACATGACGAGACGGTTCGACTCTGGGACATCCAGAGCAAGCAGAGCATCCGCTCCCTCGCACACAAAGGTAAGCCCCGCCCCCGCCGTGATGTCATCTGTGACTGAAAACAACCAGCCAATCAGGTGACCCTTTTTTTAGACAAGGGACTAACCTTCAGCTGTTTCACAATAAAAGCCCTTCAGCTCCTTCACAATAAAAGCCTTCCAGTCGTTGCACAATAAAAGCCTTCCAGCTTCTTCATAATAAAAGCTTTCCAGTCGTTGCACAATAAAAGCCTTCCAGTTGTTTCACAATAAAAGCCTTCCAGCTTCTTCAAAATAAAAGACCGCAAGCTCCTTCACAATAAAAGCCTTGTAGCTCCTTCACAATAAAAGCCTTCCAGCTTCTTCAAAATAAAAGACCGCAAACTCCTTCACAATAAGAGCCTTGTAGCTCCTTCATAATAAAAGCCTTCCAGCTGCTCCACAATAAAAGCCCTTCAGCTCCTTCACAATAAAAGCCCTTCAGCTCCTTCACAATAAAAGCCCTTCAGCTCCTTCACAATAAAAGCCTTCCAGCTGTTTCACAATAAAAGCTATATTATTGTGACTGTATTGAGGTGTTATTGATCTGGTCTGTCATATCTATTATTGATTATTGATAGAAGTGGTCAGACTTGTTGTTTTGAAGCTTTGTTTTATTTTTTATAAATGCGTAAAAATATTAATCTGCATTATTAGGCGTTTTAAGAGGCCAGTACAGACGTGTTGATCGGTGAGGATCAGACTGAATCAGGTCAGGTTTGATGAGATTTGGGAGATCATTTAACCTGCGTGTCTGCTGACGGGTTATTAATGAAGCGCCGTCTCTGGAGCTTTTGCTCTCCGTCTCATTCATAATAAGTGATTCTGCTGCGACTGACGGGAACATGAAAAAGGAATGCTCGCCGTGATCATGACTGGCACTTTGTAATTAACCAAATCCTCACTTCAAACGTCAGGAGACGATAATCCCTCCTCTGGCTGGACTCGCCCCCGTCACGTTTTTTCGGACGAAAGGAAAGCTTCATCCTCCGTGACGCAGCTCCTCAAACCGATTCGTCTCAGCGGGTTCAGCTGCATGCTGGGAAACACCAGAGAAACCACCACTGTCCTGGCATTATTGATTCTAAAATCACAGCAGAAGAATCCACTTCAAAATTCGGAGCAACACGAATGTGGTGAAATATCTGCTTTGAACACATCACATGATCTTCATCGGACGAAGATGAAGGTCATGTGATCAAATAACAGTTAAATAATCTGTTAATCAGCTGAAACGAAGAGTACATCAAAGAAACAATTAGCAATCTCATTAAAATACGATTAAATATTTTGTTATATAGTATATTACAAATACTCTGAAGGGATCATGTGACTTTAATTTGGTCCCAGACTTCTTGCTTTCAAATGTGAGTATTTGATATACAAGCACACACACTCACATTGGAGTGTGTGTGTGTGTGTGTGTGTGTGTGTGTGTGTGTGTGTGTGTGTGTGTGTGTGTGTGTGTGTGTGTGTGTGTGTGTGTGTCCACAAGTGGATGGAAAAGTATGCATTTCCTCCACTGTGCAGTTGATTTGTTTCTCTGTATTATTGCTCATAAATCTCTGCGTCTCTTGACTGTCGCTGAGAATATTGAATACATGCATACATATTGGGACATGCATACAAATCAGAGTTTGTCCGTCAGTGTGTAACTTCACTCTGGGCTGTGTGTGTGAGTTCAGCTTCAGTTCATGAGCAGGAAACTGAGAAAAGAAAGATAAATGTGAGATGTGTGGAGAAGATGCAGGGCTCCATGTTTCCCTCTCCTTCAGGCTGTAGACTGTAAGAATCATCTGAGTGAGACCTCGTCACTGTGAAAGAGATCTGACGTCAGCCGAGACTCCCAGAGGAGGCGACTGCTCCTGGGTTCAAAAGAAATGAGATTATATAGAAGTCTATGAGAAAATAAGATACTTCTCTCTCTCTTGATTACCTCAGATTGAATAGAAGTCTGTGAGAAACCAAGATGGTGACGACAAAGAAAACAAGAAACAAGCTTGAGGTTATCTCAGGGCAATTTTCATACAGAGCAGGTCTTCTCTGCTCTCTGAAATGATATTAGAAGCAGCTTCTCTTTTGAGGAGGAAAATCACATACACATAGATCTTAATCATTTTGGACTGTAAGTGGGACACTTGGAAACAATTTAATGATCTCCTGGGATCTCTCCTCGCGTTTTAATCTGAGGAAAGTGTGAATGTTTTACAGTCCAGGTTGGTTTTTAAAAGGTTTTCCCTCCTCCACATGTTGTAAATCACTTTCAAAAACTTCCATTCTGCATAAAACCACACTCTGTGTTGGAAGGCAGAGGTTCGTACTTAAAAGATCTGAGTATTTCCTCCTTGTTGTGGTAATAAAGACCGGCTGATTATCTAACACTCAATTATAAATATTGATCTCCTCTTGGCTGCAGCTGCAGGAATTACACTAATGGTCTCAATGTGGTCCAACACTGAGACATTAATCACACTGAGAGAGAGGAGCTGCCAACTCACTGCAGAGGAAACACCTGAGTGGAGTGCACCAGCTGGGCGTGAAGAAGTATGTCTTAACTCTAACGTCATGCTTAGCTACGTCCGACTTAGTGATTTGAATTTACACAGAGTGCACCAAGCCTGCCTAGTCACGGTCGCAGCTGCGCCTCGTCTTAAGATGCGCGTCCACGTCTACACACGCAAAACACATCTAATAATAATTTAACACTCGAACTGAAGCGTAAAATCTGAGTGTAATGAGCACCTGCAAGGTAGGGGAGAGCGCAGCGTTCCTTTCTGATCCGTGCTGGAGTTGAGGGGAGATCTCCTCCATTAATTCAAAAAGGGCTTGTCTGCCGAAACGAAACCTCTATCAGCTCACTGAATAGATGTCCAGTGGGTTTGTTCGATCACGGACAACTCTCTCATCTTAATGCCCTTTCGTTGTTAAACCTGACACACTACCATCGTTATTTTCCTTCTTGCCTGTTTTACGTTACTATGGATACTATTCTGTCTTTCCGATTTACGCCTGCTACATACTAGGCGTAAAAGTTACACCGCAACGCATACAGGGCTTAAGTCTAAGTGGTGCACTAGTCATAACTTTAGTTCATAACTTTAGTTTGGTCTTAACCTTCCGTTCTACGTCGGACGTAGAGTTACGCCCAGCTGGTGCACTCCTGAACNGTCTAAGTGGTGCACTAGTCATACATTTAGTTTGGTCTTAACCTTCGGTTCTACGTCGGACGTAGAGTTACGACCAGCTTACGCCCAGCTGGTGCTAAAAACATAAAAAGTTATCTTTTGGCACACTCCCTTTTTTAAATACCTACCTTTAGGGTCTGATGGGATTTTTGATAATTTCTCTTCTAGATAATTCAGATTTATCTCCATCAAAACTTCTCTGGTCACTTTAATGGTGTTCACGCAGTAGTACAGAAACATCAGATCCACTGTGTCCGTCCGGTCTGCTTTCTCTAGTTGGCTCTTTGGGAGTCCTGGGAATCCTAGGACCTCCTCCTGCAGGCACCACTTGAATTCTTTAAACTCCTTTTCCCCCAAACTTTGTACAATTCTTAATAGGACTTTTCTAGGTGTCTCCATCTGTTCTCCCTGCAGAGCAAAGATACCAAGATAGAACATCTTTATCTTACAGAACATTATGTTGTTTTATTGTATTTTCTACTTTTGAAAACCATAACAGGACTTCGGGATCCAAAGAACAGCTGCCATGTGACTTTCGATGGCTTCAATTCAGATGTCGAGTTAGTAAATGCCCTAATCGGTTCTAAACTTGTTTTAATACCTTTGACTTCACGACTTCACGAAAGATATTCAGGAAGTCAATCCTAAACTTGAAGACAGTCAATTCTGTCTTTTCCTTTAATGTCTTGGTTTGGTAACCTGTCTTTAAAGAGCAGAAACTGTCTCAGTCAGATCATAAAGTGGTCTAGCAGACTGATTGGTGAGTCACAGCTAAACCTGGAGCCCCTGCTCATCAGACAGAGGCTTTCTAACTCCATTTGTAATGAAGACTCCCACCCCCTGCAACCTGAACTTCAGCTTCTTCCTTCGGGCCAGAGGTTCATCTTCCTAAAGGTGTAGAACCATGAGGTTTAAAAACAGCTTTCTGCAAACCAAGTCTACCCACTGGTACAAAGAAATAACCTGGACCTGAACTGGACAGATGGGATATTGTGACAGTGGGATACAGTTAGGGCTGATGGTAGAGAGAGACTCACACACCTGGTTCTGGTCTCTTGCAGTAAGCTGGTTACTGGTCATAGGTCCAGGTTCAGGTCCAGCAGAATGCGGTGTTTGCTCTGGGCTGGAACACAAAACACAGAGCTTTGAGTGAATAATGAGTGCTGAGCTGCGACATGGAGAAGAGTCCTGGACAGTTGGAGATCTCACCTCTGAGCTTTGGTCAGGCTGTCATGTTCCCCAGAGCTTTTAGAGGGGGAGGCTTCCTCCTCTCTGTCCTCACACTGATCCATAGCAGAGCCCCCACCTTCACACAAACACAACAACATGTCATTCATTACCACAAGCGTTACATCACCGGTAGTGCTCCTCCTCTCAGATATTTAGGAACCTTGTTGGAGCCTCAACAGGACCTGATCAGCCCAGAATGTTCCCCACAGCCCCAGGCCCAAACAGAAACCCATAAATATGTGTTAGTGTATCACAGCACTCACAAACAGTCATTTCAATGTACATTTACAGCCCTGCCCCCACACAACTGTACTGCGCTGAGTAACCATTTAACAAAACTTCAACAAAACTTCTTTGAGATTAAATTGTTTGGCTTAAAATATGTACGTTAATACATGTTCCGGACTTTAATTAAAAAAGGTATTTTGTGAACTGATAAGAAATGTATTTTTGATATATCATTGAGATCTGAAAAATACGTTCCCTCATAACTAAGTTACAATGCAGTTCAGATGTATGGGAAGAACATTTGTAATGTTTGATATAATACTTCATTTACTTTTCATGCTAATGTCTCTTCAGGTCTACT